CTTTAAATCTCCATTCATTTATTTTCTTTCCTATTTTATCTCCCTAAAGCCAGGGTGCAGAACTGCCTTGAAGAACAGTAACTGGGCAATAAACACGCCATATTCTAAGTAGCTGTTATCTTTTTCACCCAAAGCCCACTTCCTCTTGTCTTGACTTAAATGGAGTTGCTCATGCACATTGTCTAAAATGATTAAAGACTGGGACATAGGTCTAGGTGCCTAGCAGCATCCCACCACACACTGAAGAATGTGGATGTGCAGGCAAAGGGGGCAACCTGGTGACCAACCTGGTGACCAATTGCAAGCTGCACATGACAGATATCTTCAATTTACCCACAGAGTCCAGCAGACCATTCCTATGGCATTTAAGTTGTCTACTCCATATTGGTGAAGCCAGGTAACACCAAGAAACAACAACAGCATTTTTCACCCATAAGTGTTTTCAAAAACAAGACCTCACAGTGGTTACCCTGGCAAAACTAGAGGCAGATGATCACAGATCCTAATGGTCAGACTCCTAACACCTTTCTTTCCAAGGCCTGAATTCTTCTGTTGCTGAGCCTGTTAGTAACCTGGGTTCAAAACAATAGCTTTCCATGGCAGTGTTCAACCGCTACACAATTTCAGCAAAACCTGGGCAGGCTGTTTTGAAGAACAAGGTAGGCTGTAAACAGCTTTTGGTGTCCTTTGTTTGGAGGTTTTACAGAAGCACATAACCCTGGGGGAAGAGAACTGCTTTTGTTGTCCTTGTGAAAATATGGCCAGGATTTTCAAGTTACAAAGCTTAATATATTAAATCATTGTTTGGACAGGCTCTGTAGAAGGTCAAAAACTTAATCTCCCCTGAATCTATTAATGGCAACTGGTTCTGGTCACCAGGTCAGCTGTGTGACATAGGCAGAGAGTAACTTTCACACTGCAATGTCTTATTTCTTACATCTTACAAAAATATAGCAAAACCAAATCTTGTAACTGGAGGCAATGCCATACGGAACCAGCTGTGATGAGAAAGCCTCATGATATTCATTAAGAAGCAACCTTTTACCACATTCAAACTGCACAACTATCCTGGCTGAGAAATAATATTGGAATGAGTCTAACACCATAACCAGCTCCCTCCTCCTCTCCTCAGGAAGATACCTAGGCATGAGAGGCAGCATAATTGTCTCTTTGCTACTGTGAGGAAGGAAAAATTAAAAATACTTTAGCTCTTGGTACAGCATACTGCACTAAACCTCCTGGAGGAGAAGGAGAGGAAATAAAAAGGGTATGGTCTGGCTACAGTGAAATCCAAGAGAGGAATTTTATAGTTCATATACTTTTTTTAAAAAGCCACACATTTTACTTTAAGCTTGTTCCACTGTATTTGCCAAAAGAAAGAAGAGAAACCCAGCATAGCATCTGGAGAGGTTTCTCCCCGGGAAATCCTCACATCTCCTCTGCTTACACTGCTACTCAGAGCTGTCAGGTGACCTTTACAAGCACAGTTTCACGTCTGACAGCAACTCTGAGCCACTAAAGTTTCCAGAGAAACTCCCCTGCTCTGTGAGGTTTCTCATTTTCCCTATTGGCTGTGCAGCGTTTCAGCTCTCTGCTAATTATATCAACACTCAGATACAAACTCACCAAAATAGACAGTGTCCTGAGGCCCCAGCTGCAGGGAAGCAGACTTCTTTAATCCAGGTAGAGAGGCCAAGGGGGTCAGAAAGCGCTCCTGGGCCACCCCCCACTGCTAATGGGCATTGCAGACAACCTTGCTGGGGGGCAGCTCATGTCTTTAATTAGGGTGCAGGGCACGGGGCTTCAAAGGGACAGCGACTGACCAGGGGGTGTAATGCCATGAAGGAGATGCAGTGCCACAGTCCATTGTCAATGGGACAAAGGGCCCTATTATTACTCTCAAGACCAGGGCAGTTCCTACCGTAATTAGGAGACAAAGATGCACGATTTAGGATTTTACATAATCAAGAGATACTCTCCCAAGCAGGAGCCCCTCTCACACAATCAGTGGATTAAGAATTGTTTATTCTGCTGCAAGTAAACAATGAGGTGCTCACTGCTCTGGGTTTTACATGAAAAAGCATTTCTGGGCAAGACAATGGGGAGTGTCTTTTCATCTGACTTTGAACAGCTAACCCTGCGATTTAAAGTTGTTCATTTGACAGTATCTGGAAGGGTGATGGCCCACCCTGTAAATTAGCTGCACACATACTAATCCCAGGGCTGCTAGACAGCCTTACCTTTTCTGATACTTAGCAGAAGGTGGTGGGGACAGACAGACTCAGACAGCTCTGGGGGCAAGAGGCTGTATTTGCACAGCAGCACTGAAATGGCGGGATTAAAGAACCACAGAGAAGCCAGGCAGAAGCTCCTGCCCACCCTGGCACCTTGCCTCAGCCACGGATGCATCTCTGCAGGGAGGCTGCAGGGTGCCACCATCAAGACAGTGCACAAACTGGTGCACTGCTTCAGAGCCAGTTTGCAATCCTTTATATAGGAGTTGGGGGAGCAAAAGGGAATTGGATGTTTGACCGGTACCTTTACAATGAAAGGCACTGGCTAGGCAGATTGAGCATCACTTATTTTTGATCATGACAAAACAGTCTGTGCTGGGCTACTGCCTACTGCAGTAGTTCCAAATTAATCACAAATCCTGAGTATCTGGCTCTGGGATACACAGCCTTCCTCACAGGTCCCCATCAAGTGACTCTGCTTTTACAATATGGGCAATAAAAGGAGACTGGGGGTGTTACACTCCCTGCCCTTTGCTCACAACACAGTTACTGTGCTTTTTTGCTTGTTTGAACTTTTAACAAGAGTTACTTCCCCTTGTCTTCTACAATAAGGCGACAACAGGATTTGATGGAAGCCTTCTAACATTCTGCAGTTTGCTTCCCTGTCACAAGTACACCCATACACACAAGTCTCCTGCTCTACTACTCTAGCAAAATATTCTCATTTCTTGAGCTCTTTCACTCAAAAAAACACCCTTAAGCCTCACCAAAAGGACCTCAATCACTTGTACTCAGGACTGAGAAAGGCATGCTACTTTCTCTGTGCCTTGTTGAATCCTATAAACAGTACTACAGAACCCTGGGAACCAGGGGATTACAGCCCCTGCTGGCCACGGATTTTAACCCATTTCGTTTGGGATGAAAGAGTCACCTTAACAGCAGTCCAAACTGCTCTGCTTACTAGAGGATTTTCTGTCAGGCTGGGCTAGGCAGACAGTGTCATTTGACTTGTCTAGACTAGGACAAAAGGTGTGGTTTAAACCAGATGGGCAGGCTAAGTTGCACCTTAATGTATTAGCTGCCCAGAAAGGACCACATCTTCCTTGTTCTGTCTTCACTGACAGATCTTAAATGGCTGAGGCAAATACCTGACAAAATCCTCTTACTATCACCCAGACAATTCTATAAAAATAAGCATCCCAGCACTACTCTTAAACCATACCCATCGAGCTTGACAACTGTGACTTTGATTTAAGGACACTTGCTGCTCAGCAGAACCAAGGGTAGCAAAATCCATTTCAGGAGAATATTATCCCAAAGCAAGTCTAATGCCAGAGCACGAGCTGCATAAGGAGGAACAGCATGTCTGCACAGCCACTGTGTCTTTCTGCCTTCCCACAGCAGACTGCAAAGCTGCCAAGCTAGAAGGATATTCTATTATCTTATCAAGGCAGGAAAATCCACCTCTCCACTCAGGTCCATGGAGTATAACTTTGCAAAGAGGTTCTATCTTCAGAAAAGCTTCAAAATGAGGGTAATGAGCTAATATGTCAGCTGCTTTCTCTAAAGCATGAAGTGTAAGGCAAAATTGTTCAAGACTCCATTTTGTAGTGGTTACAGAGCTCTTACTGGAAAACAACCATTTCAGCTTTGATCTATAACGAAAATTTACCTCATTTACTTCAGAAACAGCAAAGTATGTTTAATTAACTACTGTTGAATGGACCAAGCTTTCAACTCTTTTCCCCAGTAACTGCAACATTAACAATACCTTTAAAAAGTATTTTACATGTATTTACAAAGGTTTTCTAAACAAACATTTAGGAAAGGGAAAACTTAATAGAATTAATCCAATTTAATAGAATGGGATGCCTCTGCTCCATGTCATTCTATTAAGAACCTGTATCCAGAAGTGAATGTTGATATTTCAAGATGCTGAATTCTTCACCCCATTCCAAAAGATCATTAGAGTCAAATGTCCCAAAATAAGTTTAAAATATTGACAAGCTTAAAACAGACAATCTCCTTTCTACATGTTTCAACTAGACATGAAAAATTTCTTTTAGATCTTCATGTATCTGGCTCTACATTTTTCTGTGGTAAAAAAAAGGAAATAAAACAGTTTCAGGAGTCCCAGAGGCAATTACTTGAATCAAAACACAACATTCAAGCACCTTCCCTAACAATTAATGAATAAGTTTTCCTTGGTAGGAAAAGCTCATTTAAGCCAAAGTCCACATCATTCCCTAACCTCAAAAGGCAGAAAAGCATAAAACATTTTGTTGAAGGTCTGAAACCAGAAACTCATCTATCTTCACTCACTCCAATGACTGAAAAACCCTTCCTATCCAGCTGCTGCCTTCTCCACACAGAATCATCTCATAGGATGACACCTCAATACTTTTATCAAGTTTTTTTATCAAGTTTTAAGCATCTTCAGTTTATCTTGTTAAAATTTTGCAGTGTTGGCATTTTACAGTTTTATGTAACAGTGATGTGTTTCAATGGAATGAAGAAGGGCTTTAATTTTTTCTAAAAACATTTCCAGCTATTAACTGGCAAGATTTCCTGTATTTGCAAAAAAATAATTAAATTAAGCCCTACAGCACCCTGGTGACACAAGATGAGGCAAACTATTTAAAAACCTGCTCTAAACCACAAAGGAGGGCAGCTAAGAGTGCAGGGGGCTGAGGGGCTCCTGCCCCTCCACAGCAGGCTTCTTTAAGCTGTCTGGTGACCAGAGACACTCTGGGCACTATCTCTTACCTCAATGAATTATCTGGATGTGTTTCCATGTGGGACTCCAGCCCATACTTGCAAAAAAAGTCTTTGAAACACACTGGACAATGATAAACTTCATCGTCAGCCCTCTTATCCCCTTCACCGGAATGGCCATCCTCGAGAACCTTCAGAAAAAGGGAAAAGAAAAACCTCACTAGACCAACTCATAAGCAACAAACCAAACTTGCAATCCATTCAAAGTCTTTCTCTCACAAAAAGTTGCAGGCTTCATGTGTAACCTTGCTGCAAGCAAATACAAAAGCATTCCTTAAGAGAGATGGTAAGTGCCAGAGCCTTGGCACAGGTGTAAGAACATGCATGATAGAAAAGGAGGCTCAGTAGGAGATAAAGTGTGCAGCTGAGTCACAGATATATCAGTTCTAATGAGGAACTGTGATTTGAAGAACTTATAAACCCATGTGTTCATATACCACTGAACTAGCATTCCTCTCCTTTCAGAAAGCCAGGAGAGCTGTCAGCCTAAATTATTTATGCCACTGAGATACTGCCAACTGCTAAGTCAAGTGGTTCAGGGAGAAGCAATGAACTTCTGCATGTTTTCTATACTTCTCTTCTGATTAGAGGGAGAAAAGCATGCACAGAGCTTGGGATACTGTGCTAAATGGAACTGCTACTAGCTTGCCATTTAGAGATAGTAAGTGGAGAGTTAAGTTTGGCAGACAACATACATTTTGTACAAATGACTGAGATGTGTTAAAATATTTTATAAACAGAACCCTAACGGAAATGTCTAGCCCTCAAATAAATATTTTCTGGTCACTCTTGTAACTCCAGTAAGGTAGGATTATGCTACTGTGAATGGGAAATGTACTGTAGATTTTTTTTCCCTCCAGATCTAGGCAAAAGCAGACTTAAGCTGCTGCTGCTTTTGAAGTAAAAATTGTTTCTTTTAAGTTTAAATCACCATCCTTCAAGAATACTACAAAATATATGGGAGGAAAAAAAAAAGCTAGGGGAAAAGCTGCAACAGCAAAGGAATAGTACATCCTGCTGTCATCCAACAATAATTATTTATAAATCAGAAGCAAATTAAAAAATTTAAGCAATAAAGAATTTTAAAAATGGAACTATTTCAATCTCTGAAATTAGAAAATAATGTTCAATCCCAGACAACTATGTTGGCTACAACAGGATAAGCAAGGCAACTCATATACAGAGCTGCAACAAGTCTGTGATGACTGCACAAATCAAACAGCTGACAATTTAGGAGGTAACCAGGAACATCTTTTGCTTCATGCCCCATAAAGAACCTTTTTTGCAGGTGTCCTCTCCTCTCTGTCCAGCTCAGCATCGTGACTGAACTTCCGTTTCGAAGACAATCGCCTGCGCTTCAGTGGCGAGGGGGGAGTGGTGCTCGCTGTGCTGTTTGGATCCTTCTCATGAATCTTCATGTGCCTGAGCAGGAGGGGGAAGAAGACACCATCAGCAGGCAAATCTGGGGCAGGAAGTCCAATGTAAATTTTAATGCCAACACCACTTCTAAGGTTTGCCTTTAAAGGACACCATTAGCTATCCCATAAACTGGCCTGAATTTCTGAAAAACGACTGGGGCATGATCCAGCATGGGCCCTTTGCAGTGCCTGGGCCTGTGAGGGGCTGCAGCAGGGAGCCCACAAGATTTCCCCCATGTCCCAGCTCCCAGCACGACACCTGCCCTGCTAACATCTATCTCCATGAGCAGCGTGCCCATTCTCCACCATCCTTGAGGTCCTGGTTCTGCCTAAACCTGCTCAGCAATCCACATACCCAGCCTCCCTGTCTTGTGGCAGCCTAGTAAGCAAAAGCCTGCAGCTTAGCATTCACTTCTCTCAGTGCAAAAAAAGCACCTCATCTTCAACTGGCTCTCTGTCTAGAGTTTGAGACTGTACCTCAAATAGATCTGCATATGCCAACACCAGAGCAACATTTCTTAAATACATTTGTTTCCTTCTCATCCTTAACGCAGTGTTGGACCCCAGTATCAAATTTCAAGTGCAGCTTTGAAGTCAGGATTATCTGGTCCCACTGTTACAGTGCACTAGGTATGGCTTGCAAAACTCTGTACTGCCAAGGCATGCTCACAAACCTGCTTTCCCAGGAAAACAACTATTTCTTGTCACAAAGACACAGGAAAAGGGAAAGTAACAGATATACTCAGGAAGCAATATCATTAATATCTGTTTACCTGACCCATTTGCCTCTTGGTTTTCTGTATTTGCAACCTGAGAAAGCCACTGTTGTCTAGTTCCCTTCAGTTACATGGAAGGTATTGCTGCCATGCTTTTTTTTCTGACAACTCAAAGCTCAAATTTCAATTTTCTTTTTTTTTTTTTTTAAGATATGACCTTTAACCTCGCCTCAAATTTATATTGCTATTGGGAAAAAAAATCAAATGTATGCTCCAGATACAATGGAAAATCTTTGCTCCTCACAGCTAGATAGATATGTGAGTGCAGGAGGGAGCTGCCATTTGTCCACGACGGACTTCAAAGAAACACAATGGAGACAATGTTAATGGCACTTGGGCAAATCTTTCAGAAGTCACATCCACAACTCAGCTCAGGACAGTGCCATTTAACATGACTGCACAATATCATGTTCTAACATGAGAGAATGTTGTAACCCAGACAAGCCTTGCATGTCCTCATAACTGCTTTGGTGTTATGATATAAAATCTGTTTTAGTTTTGGATGCCAAGGGCATGATGCTTTGAGATAACACACTGGACCAAACTGACCCACAGCAGACCCCAATGGAGCTGCTGGGAAGACTGTCTCATCACACAATGCTTTTTTTAAGCTCAGAAGCTTTAAAAAAAAATAAGGCTTCTAAATCACTGTCTCAAAGTATAGCCTGTCTCAAACTGCAGGGTGTTGTGCAGGAACAGCCTCAAGCCAAAAGCACCACAGGTACCAGAAACAATGCAAGATGAAAATGCCTGTTCAGCTACTGCCTGCTTTCAGCATCCATCAAGGCTGGGGCTGCTTGGAGGATCAGGTCCACGAGAAAAAAACCTGTTGTTTCCCCAGATCCCCAGTAACTCACACTGGTTGCACAACTGGTGGACAGACACTGGTGACACCTGTCAGTCACATCTATGTGCAAATGTGCCCAGCAGATTAGACATGGAATCACAGAAGTGATGCTGAAATTGTCTGACCTCTTTCCCTGCCAATCACCCATTTGAGAGGAGAAGGAATGCTGAAGGTTTGAGCATTTGGCTCTCTCCAGGTTTGACAGAAGCCAGAGAAAACCCAGAGTGCTGACACAGCATACAGAGTACTGCACACTCCCCTGCCTTAGCCCTCTGGTAGCTCTGGCACCACAGGCACCAAAGCAACTGATTCATCCACACAGTGCTACCTTGTCTTACAAAATCTGCAGGAAGGTATCTACAGATACTATACTGCCTTCTTTTCTTCAATCTTGGTTTGCTTTTTTCCCTGTGACACTGATCTAACTTCTCATGCTAGTTAGAGCTTCTTCCATGAGTGATAAAACAGCAGCCTGAACTGCAGTTGTCTGTATTCACACAAGAATAAAGGAGAAGAAACCAGTTATTTGTTCAAGGGGTTCCTGTCCACAATGACAGAAGATAAAATTCAGAAAGCATCTTGCAACAAAAAGTCAAAATATTCAACTGCACAGCAAAGCAACACCTGGAAGTTTGGACTGTTTGTCTATGTTTTTATTACTTCTTTTAGGTAAAGACTGCTTTCCAGTTTTCCTTGGTCCTTACTGAATAGTAAGGACAGAGGTTTTTGCTGTGTCTGTCTGTGCCTGCACCCCAGGCACTCACACACAGCCTGACTGCTTAACCCTCTGGCAGCCCAGCTGAAGCACAGCTAACTCTACTTGGCCAGTTACTTTTCAGATAGCTAGAGAGCAAAATCAGTCAAGATAAATCACATTCATCCTGAAAACAAACAACAAAAGAAAACTGCCATGCACTGAGCGTGGGACTTTTTCTTCTCATTTTATTTTAAAGTCTCTTTCCAACCATTAACAAGTATGCACAACTCCTGTTTAGCAGCTACCTATGCAAAACAGCTTCCTTAGGGCTAAGTTCTTTCCTCCTGCTGTTTGTCCACCTGTTGAACTCTGCGTGTTTTGATGGAGCTGGCTCCTACTTGAGAGGGATGCAATGGCCCATCCACAGTACACCAACAGGAAAAACCCTTGGGTCCTCCAGGTTAGTGCCAGCCCAGCCTGGCACCTCTGCCTGGCATGACCTACTGCATGCAAACACACTGGCTCCTGCAAGTCCCAAAAGCAGTTGAGTTATGCTTGAAGTGTGAAGTTTGCCAATAAGGCAGGGCTTGCTAACATGGGTACAGCACCACAGTATGGGGGCTTTGCTATGTCCGGTGTCAGCCACTGGCTGCCCCAACTGCTTGCAGATCTCATTCCTGCAACGTGTGTGCTTTTGCCATGTCCTAAAAGCCACAGCAGAAATCCATACCACAGCAAGGAATGTGGTGACCCCCTTCATGTTTTAGTTTTGCACATTTGAAAGGAAGCAGCCCAAGCTATTGAGCTATAAACAGGAAGACACCCTGACTGCACCTTTAACTTTTACTGTGTAGGTCAAACATCACAGCTGCTGTGATAGCTCTATGCATGTGATCATTAAGGAAGAAAAGGAAAATTCTGAAACCAAAGCAGCAGGTTCCAGAGTTCTCAAGGAGAGTCACAACCTGCCCATGTTACAGCCAGCAGGTTGTTCTTTTGGCAGGTTAAGCAAGTTTCACTGCATCAAGTTCAGGGTGGAGAGGAAAAAGATTACTAGAGCTACAGCCCTAGATAAGCGGGAAGATAAAGCCAAGAAGTACAAAGGATAGACACAATCTTCATCTCTCTCTTTTACTTTGCAACATGGATGTCATTCTGCCTCCAGACAACATTTATCACCCAACATGGGCTGAACTTCAGCAGATGCCAAGTCACATCCACATCCACAACCTTTCTTTCAAACATTCCCTTCACTGAGGCTTCTTCTAGTTAAAAAATTTCCTAACCATAATTAAGGGGGGGGGTAAGTATTTGTGTTGCCTTACTCCTTTAGAGGAGTTTGCCTTGATTAAATCTTACATGTAACACTGAAAATATTCAACCTCACTGTTTAGCCTGCCAAGATACAAGATGAACAGGAACAAAGCTGTGTTTAGAAGTTATTTTCCCTTTGTGAATATAACAACATATTTTGGCCTGACAACACTGGCATACTTAGAATGTAAAAGACAGGCTCATAAGTCAGGCTGGCTTTCAGCATCTTACAGTGATAGAGAAAAATGATATGACATTCATCAATTCCAAAAAATAAAGATAAACACTCAACACTTTAAGTGAGAATGTAGTTCAGAAAAAAAGAAGGGCAAAGTAAGGACATGTACAGAAATGCTTATATTCAATTGCACATACAAGTGCCAGCAGCTTTAAAGTGACCACTACTGCAGCTCAGAAGACATCCAGAATCACAGCAGATGAAACTTGGATTTCTTTTCCTAAATTAAATCAATGAATTGTGGCTCTGAGCCATTCTACAGAGCAACCAAAGAACAGCAGACAAGTTCAGAGAGGTACAGAGCCCTGAAATCTGCACCACACAGTCTCCCCAGCATGCATGCAAGTACACATGCATTTGGGACAGTGCTGAGGGTAGAACACTAAAATCCAGCCATGATACACAGGGTGAGGAAGGAGATAAACACTTGAGCTTAATATTAGGGAGGACTCATTTGCACTAAGTGCTAGCTAGCCTTGATTAACCTCTCAAAAGAAAGTGATGGAACTCTATTTGAAATTAGACCAGGGAAAGAACCAGAAAAATCTGCAAAACATAAATACAAAATGAAAAGAGGAAACTAAGTCTTTTCTAAACATGGTCTGATCCACCTCTGAACTAAACTCTTAATGTTTAAGAACTGCTATGCAAAAAACGTGAAATACCTTGCTATATGATATGCTTTATGCAGCACAGCTGTATGAGAAAAAGCTCTCCTCATAATCTCTTCCCTACCCCTCACATAAAGAATTCCACAGGTGAGCCAAGAGGATCCAACTGTGCTAGGACTGTGTGCCAGTCACCCCTCCCAACAAATCACAATTTTTCAAGTTCTTGACTGCCTTTCATTCCATCCTCCCACCGAGGATCTCCTTCTGCTTTCCCTCTTCTGCCACAGCTCTCCTCTCCCCTCTCGGTGTCACATGAGCAGGATGACTAAGATGATAGTGCACAAGAATTCCCCTGGCTTTTTTTTTTTAAGACAAATGGACAGAAAAAGTTTCTAGCTCCACACTGTAATGCAGAGCATGATTTCAGGAGAGTAACTATTCTACTAGTACGGCAGCAAGTGAACATTTTGCTACTTTACATTGAAGAAGAGATTTCTGTAGTAATAGGCAAATGCAGAACA